AAGGACTTTTGACAGCCATACTGAGAAGGTAGGGACCTTGAAAAGTCAGTAGAGTGGTGCTGTACAGCGAGGTCATCCAAAACTGAAGCCTTCTCTTTCTCTGAAAAAGCTATGAGCATATATTTCCTGCATATTTCTTCCTCGTAAGCTGGCTGGGGTGTCCATTCCAAGAGGGAGGGTACATGTAATTTTTTAAGAGGGTGGCCAGGTACTTATTTACAACGGCTCTGCTGAAGGAGCAGATAGATTAAGATAAGGGAAATGAAGAGCTCTCTAGGTGTGTTGGCAAAGAAAAAATTCTCACTGAAGGTTGAATTAAACACTTCAGGGCATGCAGGGCTTAAAGATAAGCCAAGAACTTTGGCTGTGGACATACAGAACAGTGTTTTCATGGCTCCTCCTGAGCTAATGGGAAGAAAAAGCTAATTGGTTTGAAAAGAACAGTTCTTTGACCCTTTCCCTTGGTTCAAACTTGAGTTGTACCTGTTCTGGGGATGAGTGGTTTTGTAAATTTGAGTGCTTCATGAATTCTCCAGTGAAAAAGAAGAGGTTGGGGTCAATCCATTCAGGAAGTATTGGTGCTTAAGAAATTTGAAGATGATGTCTGGTTAGACCACAATAGATGACACTTGGCCCATTTCTTGACGCTGCATTTCTGAAATAACCCACATGCAGAAGACAGTTTAGAAGCAGATCACAGAAGTGTGGAAAATGCAAAATACAGGTTTAATCATTGGAAACAGTGAGGAAAATGAATTATAGGAGCTACTAGTGAATTGAGTAACACTGAAATGAGATTCTGATCTTTATAGACTTTCCCAATGTTTTCTACAGGTTTTGGCTGTTGGGTTGTTGTTGTTTTTTTGGGGGGGAGGGAAGTGTTGGAAGGTTCATATCTCATGATCAATAAAAATGACAGGAAGCTGAAATAACTTGGTTCTCCTAAAGATAAATTGACTTTAGAGAGAAGGAGAAAGAAGAAGACCAAAAGAGGGTGCTCTGATAGATGTTACCACACTCCAGAGTCTGCAAGTGAACTAGGAGGAGGACTGTGCTTAGCTATGTTTAACAGCAGAGGCACTGTTCGTGGCAAGATGTTTTGAGATTCCACCCTGTATCTTCAGCTGAAAGTCAAGTGACTACACACTCCTCCATAAAATGCCAAATTTGCATTACACTGTCTCAGTGCCTGATGACGCCTTGAGAACAAGACTCTTGCTGGAGATTGTCTTTTGCAGATTAAACTTTCCAGACTGTAACATAGATCAAAGCAAGGTGTGACTGTTTCCCTACTGTATTGAGAAGGGAGCAGTGTGAAAAGCAATTAAAAGTATTTCTACGTGTTTTTGGTTGGGGTTTTTTTGGTTTTTGTTTTGTTTTGTTTTGTTTTATCTTAGATTATCTTCCCAGCAACGGAAACGAACAGTTGAGGGCACCAAGCTATAAACTCCTTTTCCTATTTTCACTCTACCACTGTAGTAACCACCAAAAAAGAGAGACAGGCATGAGTTTGGCTGTTCACATAAATCAAAAGTTTATGATACTGGAATCCTAAAGCTTCATCCAAGTCCTATTTAAATAGCTCAAGAAAGTCCTCCTGGCTTTACGTGATGGATGGAGCGTACAGCAGGTTGATTGTATCTCAGCGGACACTTTGTCTTTGGTGGGAACTAGATGGGACACTTTTGAAAGCTTTGGGAAGGATGCTAGTGACTCTAGTTGATGTGGGAACAAGCTCTACAGATGTTTCCACCAAAGTTAACTTTAGACACTGCAAGTAGCCATCCTGGACTCCTTGTATAGTGAGTGACTGAACTATTAGTCTCTGAAAGATGAGTCAGATCAACTGAGCTAATGCTTTTCTCTGGAGGCTTCAATGAAGACATCTGTTTCTACTCATTGTTTATAGAGAAAAAGACCACTTAGCTCCTGAGCCTAAAGTTAGCATCTGTGAATACCTCCTAGCTCCCAGTCCTCAGGGGGTTGAATGGGTTGAGATTTGGAGATGTAGCACCCTAAGACTCCGCATTCCCAACAAGGCCACAGGGGCAACACACTCACAAGCCCTCTGAAGGCTGAAATGATGTTTTAGGTGTCTTTAGTCCAGAAACTGTGACCCAGTGTTTTGTATATAACTTAACAATGAAACAAAAACGTACATAGTGCAGTCAAAATCAAAACACTCTTTGGCTTGGCATGGACTCTATTTCACAGGTGCTTTTCTGCCACTAGTTGTTCCCTGAATTAATCTAAAGCTTACTAAAACCCACATCAAGCCACTCAGATAGGGAAAACAAGTTAACTGGGTCCTTTCCTTGGTCTTCTCCTGTGAGTTCCTGCAGGCTCCTGCAGGAACTTGCCTCCTTCCTACAGCTGAGCTCTTTGCATGGGCTTCAACACAGCATTTAGCTTTCCTGGGTGGGAGTTCTTCAGGGAACTTAGCAATCCCAACTGTTAGGTATCATGGCATGATTCACGTGGAGACTTTTACAGCGCAGACATATCCCACTCAACCAGTCACTCAGGCTGTCTTGATAGCCTAGCCAATACAGTCAATGGAGGCAAGGCCATGATTCACCTCATCCCAAAGCAGACGCCTAAAATGGGGCAGGTACATTGTGCCCTAGAGGTACCTGTTTCTCTCCGCTGACTGATTACAAAAGCAGGCTGGGGTGAGTAGATCAGCTGGAGATGTCCATGTTGCAGACGTCAGAAGGTAGGTGAGATGGACACAGTTCCTGGTCAATGTAAGCTCCCTTCCTCCCTCTTTTCATGCAACCGAAGAGAGAGGCCCTTCCGGAGGGCAGTTCATCTCCCTCCCTAGGGTAGGATGGATTGTCTTCTAATGTTAAGTGAGATTTATCTTCTCCCCAAATTGCAGCTGAGGTAGAAAGAGGCATCTAAGACTAGGAAATTAGCTGAAAATCCTTTTCTTTCCCAGGCAACTCCTACCTTGTCCACCTAAAGTTCATTTACTGGAGGGCACATTCTCAGGTGAGCTGATTATCTAGTTTCTAGACTCCTACCTAGAGTCATTTGGGATCCAGAAATGGATGTCCCTATGTCTCACTTGCCTGGAAAGGACTGATTTGTAAAGCCTAGTCTATGCACAGTTAGCAAAGCCACTGAGATGTGGTACCTGACCATCTGAATGTCCATCTCCTTTTCACTTCTGTCCCCTCTTCACCAGGTACCCTCCAGGAAGGGATCTAACTGGCCGCAAGGACCCTTCTCCCGTAAAAAAGACAGACACTTTAAAACATTTTTTATCTAGCCTAGAGAAGTGCTAAAGTCAAGCTAATTTTCTTGTTAACTCCAGCAATGATAGAATTCTTGTACTTTTTTTTAGTCAGAGCAAAAGAGTGAAGACATATTCCCTGACTGCCCTGTTGATAATTCAAACACACCAGGCTGTTCCCAAATGAAAACCACACAGTAAAAATGAATGTAAACAGAAATACACACTGCCCAGGCAGGTTTCTGTTTGTCATTAATTCTGAGCAGAAAAGTCAATCAAGAGATTTAATTAGAAGAAAAGGAAATTATACTCTAAAAATCCCTTCAGTTTTAGTAATCAAGGTTATTATTAGAAGCACCAGTAAAAACACTAAAAATCTATTTAATTAGCTACATATCTGCTGATCTCTCTGCATAACTGACTTGTTTGTCTCTAAGGCTTCAACCAACATATTGGTTCATGGACACTCCTTGCAACAGACTTCCATTTGGCTGTGCGCAGAATTCACACTCAAGTTTTGTTGGGTTTTTTTGGTTTGTTTTTTTTTGGTTCTCCCCACTTTAACCAAAGCAATTCACAGATTGAATGTCAAAGCAGACTTTCCACATCCTTATGACAATACAGCAAAGCTGGCATTATTTTGTGAAAATACAACCCTACTTTTGAAAATTCCCAGATTGAAACTGGTGTGAAAGTAAAGTGAAAAAGTGCTAAACTAATATCTGGAAGGACACTGACAACCATTTTAACAATTCTTTTTTAAAACACTTCAACCTGATTAGAAAGCTCCAGTATTAAGCTTTGCAAAGCACATGCTTGGATTAAGCAGGTGTGGAAAAGCTTTGTAAACAGTAGAAAGTCTTTTCTAGACCATACTTCCAGGGTTGTTACCACCATGCCAGGCATGGCTCCCAACTTGCATGCACCTTTGCATGAATGTGTCTAGTAACATGAGTACAGTTGTTCACACAGGAGACCAGCGTTGATATTAAACCCATATTAAGCCATAGGAGAGTTTTTCCCCAAGTCGTCTGTATTCTAGCAGGGCTACATTTCCATCCCCTTTCCTCTATAGCACAGGTTATTTAACTGTTTATGGTAGTGAGTTTATATAGCACTCCTGCAGCATTTAGCTCAGAGTTGGATTTTTAAGTTCTCAAGGTCCAAACTGCTTGAGTCGTTAGGGTAAGTTTCAGTTGGTAAAGTTCAAATATATAGAGCACACTGTTGAATTGTATGATGGTTGTCAATTTTTGGTGTTCCCTATCCAAAGACTTGGCACGTGGTGTCTTCTACTGTTGGTGTTATTACTTTGTATAACTCTGAAAGTGCTTTTGACTGTCTAATCCCTGGGCTCCCTCAGCTGCCAAGGTTTCCTATAAAACATACCTGCCCTTGTATAGGTGTGCTTGGCTTTCAAGGAAAGAAATATGGATTTGACCCTCTAGTTGCAAAGGAAACTAGCTGTATGAGCTGAGCATCTTTGGGAAGAAGCAGCACAATGATGGATTAAGGCTTTGAGAGGATGAAGAAAAGGGAAGGAAGATATTAAAGCTAGAGTTGCTTGCCTTGTTGGGCCTGTAGGGAACTTCAGGAGAGAGATGATGTTGTTTTGGGAAGGGATGACAGCAAAAAGGATGTTTTCTGGCAAGGGGAATGCAGAATAACTGAAGATGTTGATTTTCTGTCCCCTTTCTGTTGAACCAAGTACAATGGTGAAATCCAGCCTGACAGAATCTCTTTTTCCGTGTTTTTCTTCCAGGTCCTTGGCAATTGGTCACCAGTATTCCTCCCTGGGGACTCAGCCCATCCTATGTGGGAGCATCCCAGGATTGGTACCCAAGCAGCTACGCTTCTGTCGGAACTATGTGGAGATCATGCCCAGCGTAGCAGAAGGGGTAAAGATTGGGATCCAGGAATGCCAACACCAATTTCGAGGGAGGAGGTGGAACTGCACGACTGTCAATGACAGCTTAGCCATCTTTGGACCCGTGCTAGATAAAGGTGAGTGCAGTGCTGCGGGTTTGGCGACAGCAACATCCGTGGTGGAGTAGCAGCAGAGATCTTGAGAAACCAACTGTGAAGTCCTTCGCTTCTGATAAAATGTCATGTAAAATGGGCTGCTGGAGACTTGAGCTTGATAAAGGAGACATGTGACACAGGCAGGGAAAATTTTGTTGGCCCAGGACCCCATCCAAGCAGTTCAAACCTGACCCAGAAGGTCTTCTGTAGACACAAGAACATAATTAAGCTTTCTCATAGGAATGGCAAGTACATGTGTGCCTCCCCAATGTAAGTTGAGTGGTTACCCACCACTTCCATTTTACAGCCGACATCCAGTCACAGGTAACCATAATTTCTACCTCAAACCTCTACTGGGATTGTATAGGTGACCCAGGGTACTGGGAAGTGCCCCATTTGGTAATGCGCAGAGAGTAAGGTCGTCTCTGACCCTGCCTGGAGCAGGAGGTTGGAGTAGAGACCTCCCAGGGTCCCTTTCAACATGAATTATCCTATGATCCTATGCCCCTTGGAAGGAACACAAAGGATTATTGTGTTTTCAGTGGTCAGGCTGGACGTCTGGCTCCTTTTCTGACCCCATGGCATTTCATGCCACATTTTCAGCTCCCTCGACGATTGCAGAGGGGAATTGATGGGCTGTTGGGTATGGTTCCTAGGGGCTGGACTTAGATAACATCAGTTTTGATACCTTAATGGGATACAATGAAGATCAAAGGCCTGAGGAAATCACCATCAATTAATGGTTCTGCTTTCATTGGTTATGAATGTGGCAAATTAAGACAGGGTGCTAATTCAGGCAACTAATTCTGACATAGCACCCATTGATATAAGTGAGAGCTCCTAGAAATGTTTTGCCCTAAGTTGTTGAATGTAGTGGGATTTAAGCATCTGGCTAAGTCTGAGTATCTGGTCTTTTCCCCTATAAGTTGGCAGGAGCTTATTTTAGCCCATAAGAACATTTTTTTCCTTCTTTGCCCTTGCAGTATGCCTTTTAAAGTCCAGCCTTCTCCTGCTGGTCTCAGTGAGTCTGGGTCAAGCTCTGCCTTTTCCTTTAGCACAAAGGGGTTCACCCAAGAGGCAGACTCACTTTGCATTTGATTCCTGCCCAAATTGTAAGTCCAGGTGCCCTGTGCAGAGCTGTGCAGGAGAGTATGGCTGCTTTCTCTTAGGAGAGCACCAGCAGAAGAGGCTTGGGAATCCTCTTTGCTTTCTTTCTTTCTTTTTTTTGGTTTTGCAAAAGAGTAACAGTTACAGGTTCCTGATAGTCTGAGAGTTGGAATTACTTTGTCTGGAACAGTGGAGTAGCACCGTTTGACCTCATATGAGAGAGGAGGAAGCATCTGGGATAGTTTCAGGGAATCTCCTGAGTTGGTGTATGTAGCTGATCTACACCCACCATGGGGCACGTTCTTCCAGTGCTTGCCATCTGGAGATCTGGGGTTTGTTCGTTTTTCCCCTGCTTCATTACTCAGAAGATACTTGAGCATCTCCTTTTGTGTGAATTTTGAAAAACAGGGCAGCCAAGAGAAAGCAAAGCCTTGATTTGTATCATGGCAGGGCCTCCACCAGTGAGAAAAGGCTTTTTACATGCACCCAGCAGGAGAATGGGCGGTTTCAGCTGGTGGGGTTATCCTGTTCGAGCTGGGGAGCTGAGGCACCATATTAATGGTAGTGTCACTATCTGGGTTTAGCAGTGAGAGATTATCCCAAAACAATTACACCTGTAAGATCTGTGGTGTGGGGCACTTAACCTTCTATCAAAGTGTCATACCACAATGTTTTGCATGCAGGTAAAGCACCTTTTCTGGGTACATCACTCCTGGGAGACTGTAGCAGTTGAATTAGGCCAGCACAGCCAAACTGAGTATTTTTCCCATAGACACAAGCCCAACGTGACCTGCCCAAGACCATTCACTGGGCACAGGCAGTAAGGGAACCAGATAACACAATTCCTTTGCCTTGTCATGAGGCTGGGTGTCCTCAAGGACACATGGAGTACCTCGTGCTCCCAGATGGTCTTGGATTAGATGCTCCACATCTCCTGTAGCAATTATACCCCGTACATGAGGGAAGCGATCCTCACCTCCTTGCTGACCAAAGGAACCCCGATCCCATGAGCTGCCAAACACTCTTATCTCCCAGCGATGTCGACACGAAGGGTCTGTCCCTGCTTGAGACTGCAGGCTTTTGGTAGCCGGGCTCAGGGAGGGAAAGAAGGCTGGGACGATTTCATAACTGAAGAATGTTGTTCCTTGAGGGAGAATCAAACCACCCTTCAGTTTTGCTTCACCTACAGCAGGAGGGGGGAGAAAAAAAACAGCTCAGTCGCATTCTTGTGCGGCAGATCCCCCAGGGTAGGAACATATTTGAGCTCCTACCCAGAAAGACAGAAGGAGAAAAGAAGAGAAAGAAAGCAAGCAAGCAAAACTCTGTTTTGTAGCTTGGATTTTAAGTCACCCAAGATCTAACTGCAGCTTCTCATTTGAGTCAGTAGACACCCCAGTCTCCCTCAGCACAAGCCAGCATAGTCACTTAAGCAACTCCCTTTTACCTTACACTACTATCTGCAATTCTTTCATTGAAAAGGACCGATTTTAATGCCTTCAGGAAATACATTCTAGGCCCAAATCTCACCGAGGCTGCCTCACTGTCTGGGCTGCCCTTGCTGCTTCGGTATCTCATTGCTAATTCAGGGCTAGGCTTGAGCTGTGATTCAGCAGTGCCAAAGTGTCACCAGACTTTGGTCCTGTTAAGAGCCATATTCTGATATCTTGTCTAAAACTGGACTCTTTTTCCCCATCAGCCTGTTTATGGAAAGAAATCCCACATGTTTTAGCTACAATTATATTTATGTACATTTTCTTTTAACATTTCCATAGCCAGGCCTAACGAATCACGTATTAATCAGCAATGGTACTCATGAACTCAGCTACTAGGGAATGGTGATGTTCTGGGGATCCAGACCTGCTGTTACTTGGAGGCAATACTTGACAGGCTTGGCCCTATGTCGTTCTAGCTCTTCATATGTCTCTCAGGACATATAAACAGCAGAAATCCCCCATCTTATCCAGCTATTTGATTACTGTTTTTCAGGCTGTGGAATAAATGTTCCCCATTCAAATGGAACAGTCACGTTCCTCGCTATGCTGTGCTACCTGATTGGGGAACGATTCAGGCATTAGCAGGAGGTGGAATTGCTACGGGGCTGTGGGAAGAGGGGTTTTGTCCTCCTTTGTGGTCTTGGGAGCATACGAGCAGCTGTGCAGCTCCATGGAGAAATGTTCAGCTTGGTGCCACTGTTGGATCTTTCTTGCAAAGCACTAGGAAATAGGTGTCTCAGGTACCCTAGACTACTGGGAATGCAAAGAACAGGATACCTCTATAGGAAAAGAAGTGGGCCTGATCTCTTTCCCTCTACCTAAACCTAGCTTTCTTTTTATCAGTCATATATGAGGCTACCATTCATTTTCTAGTCTCCCAGAAGTTCAAATCTCAACTACTGGACAGTGGAAAGAACCCCTCACTTGAACTTTTCTAACAGAGTAATTTCTAGAGGAAATAATTTGCTCTTGTTTGTTTCTTCACCTGTATTGCGTGAAGCTGTGGAGCAGAACATGGCCATAGCCACACGACCTTAAGTGATCACCTTAGCCACAGCTCATGCCCAGCCACTTACCTGAGAGGTTTGGCAGTTTGTAAGGCAGTTGCTGCATCTTTCAGTTTCCCAAGGACAAGGGAAGATTTTTGAGTTGCCTTTAAAAATATACAGGATAAACATTTGGAGGCTGTAGTAGAAGGACGTGCTGTCACTGACAACGGAAAGTGAGTGGTGCAACCTAACAAGTGTTTTCCATCTCAAACTTAAGTGCCATTTATTGGGAATTGTGTCTTTCACCCTGGTTTTAGCTTTTGTGGACTGAAGACGCTGTTCATGTTTAAGTTGTGGTGCATTTGAGAGTCTCTCAATGCCGTGCGAGCTCTCTTTGAAACTCCTCTGGGCAGAAATATGAACCAATCTCAAGAGAAGTAATACAATAAAAGCTTATCATGGCCCTGTCTCTTTAAAGGACCCCAGCACATAATTAAGTCAAAATAAAACTTTCCTCCCTCTCCTCCCCCATTCAATAAAAGTAAATTACCTCAAACTATTTAAGCCCCCGGTTCGTTTAAATTTAAAAAGGGAGCCCTTGTCTATCTATTTCTTTCACTCACTCCCACCTCCTTCTGCTAAAGACTGGCTGGGGCTTTAAACCTGCCAGCTGGACTGAGAAATGGTTAATAGTTATTGTGGAGGAGCAGCTTTTAATGAACTATTGAAGAATGATACATTGATGGAGTAATGGGAGTTTAAGTCGCTCTGTAATGAAACAGGTTCTCAGCGCGGACCCATTGTGGTGTAAATACGGCACGTCTCTCCCACTGTTTGGTCAGGACTAAATAGCAGATGCCAGAGGGGGGTCAGCTTATGGGGTCTCCGCTTTAGTTAATCAATCTGATTGGATTAGGGTCACTGCGATCCCTAATAATGTCAAAGGTTACGCCAAACTGGATTAAATGCTTTGTTGGGGAGGGCTCAGATTCTTTCAGCTTTCGCCGATGGGGCTTGTTTATTAGAGTTTAACACTCACGCAACCTTGGGAAGCCGCACCGTCCCTTTTTGTACGTCGGGGCGTTTGCCGGCGTGCGAGGGGGTTTGAACGAGCTGGGGCGGGTGCGCGCACATCCCGTTGCTTTGTCAAGTGTCTGCGCCCGTCGGATGTGCCCTCTGAGGACATATATCAAATTCCCCACTGGACAAATGAGAGCCTAATGGGTGATGCGGAGGCTCGGGGGCATAAATTCATTCCGGAAATAATCGTTCGCTGTCGCCCCTGCTAGAAGGCAAATGACGAGAGCCACAGAAGCGGTGGAGTGACCCACTGTTCGTGCCCCCCTGAGTTAACCACGTTCCTGTCCAGCAAAGAGATGTCCTTTTTGATACA